AATCGGCTTGTTCGCAAATAATAAATCGAACCGAACCGAACCGTACCGAAAACATTAATATAAATATAATATATAATATATAATATAATATAATATATATTTTAATAAAATATATATTTTATAATATATAATATATAATATAATATATATTTTATAAATTTTAATATAATATACGGTTCGGCTCGGTTAATCGGGGTAAAAAAATCTTAAAAACCGTAACCGAACCGAACCGAGCAAATACTTCATTTGAGGTATTTGTAACCGAACCGAGTCCCCCGGTTAACCGAAAATTCAGTTTGATTTCGATTCGGATCTACGATTCAGCGGTTCGGTTCGAATTTTTTGCCCAATCCTAGAAGGGATAGCATTTTCTTCTGCCTAATTAATTGTACGTTGACTAACGGAAAGAAAAAGAGAGAACAAAAATGGATACCATGGATCTATACATCTGTTTTTACGGGTGAGTATTACCGAAGATGGAAACCGGACAAAGAATAAAAAGCCCATATGTCTTTTTTTTAAATGACTAGAAGGCTATCGCCGTGCACAGCACGACAGGCCCACGATAATTATTCTGAAGACAATCTTGATGTTCATGAAAAAAAAAAAAGATAATGTTCTTTTAATGAGAACACAATCAAACAACACGTCAGTTCACCTCACGGTAAATGGCACCAGTGCAAAGCTCCTCCATGTTTTAAATATTACGAATTGTCCACTACATGTACTGGCATTGGGTCTGTTTCCTCAAGGATTCAAACTTTTAATAGTCAGGCCTGAACAGTAAAGGAAGCCGATGCCAATAATTATTTACATATGTCGACTAATTTCTAAATTCGTTATTTCTCGGGTCTAATTTTTTAATGTTCATAGTTTCAAATATAGATTTCCTTTTTCTTTTTCCTTTTTTTTTTTTTTTTTTTTTTTTTTTTTGGTTAAATTGGGTGTGAGCCTTGATTGAAGAGTAACTTCCATAGAATATTAAACCCACTGAGACAAAAACTCAAATTTGTGCACCAATGTAAATTTAAGTTGAATGGACCGTCCCGTGATCATATCAAAACTCATGTGTTCTAGTAACTATTACACTCTCAGAATGATCCCACAAAAAAAGAAAATTCAAAATCTATCATCATATTTACCTTCATCAACATGAAGAGTGTAGTTTTCGAGGGGCATTTCCCTGTCGAGTGACCGGACAATATTTTCTTCATCCTCTTTCCAAAGATCGTGTCTTGTCCTTTAGCCTGAGAGCCTCCTTGATGGCTTTGGCACTTGCATCGACCCCTATTCTCTTTGTATAATCACCCAATTTGACCATTATCACCCATTTAAAGGAATCCGGGTTCACCTGTTGAAAGAATTTCAAGAAAACATTGAAATAGTATTTAGGAACCTAATTAAGCACTAAAAAACTTAAAAGTTAATTAACGGCTTTCGGATTTTCTTATTTCCCAAGAACTGTAGATTTAAGTGGGCTACGATGAATGCATCATGTAACATGAAGCACCTAAAATACATAGTTAAATTTCAAATATTATCCTTGAGACTTGTAACATTTGTTTTTACAATTTACATTACAAATTATGAAATTACACACTGAAGAGATATGCATTTATTCAAATCATTATGAAACTTCAAAAGAGCCTTTATATTATTAACTAAAGACGGTTTTGTAATTTCAAAGAAGCAGTCCAAATTTTTAGGGGTTGATTGCAATTTGCCATCCAACTACAGCTCTTCTTTTGCACATTGGGTCCAAGTTGGCTCCCAGAGGGTTAAATGCAAAATGTTCAAATAGTGAAATGGCTAAAGTTCAGCAAGCTAAGTGCAAAAACTCAATAGTTCGGCACGCAAATTCCAATTAACCCATCCTTTTAAGTGCCGAATAAGTATGAAGCTTTTATAACTTAACCTGCAATATTTTAATTGAAAAGTTGACAGGTTCTATGAAAAGGTAAACTGACCACTTCCAGGAGCTCCCCCTCCAATTCCGTGGAAAAACCCTGCTAGCTCCAACAGCTTCAGCAGCGGTTACTTCAAGAGGATGTTGTGATCCAACCTTCTTTCTACATTTAAGGGTAGACCTTCCATTAGTTGTGTGCCAACGATTTTATTCGAAAAATATATAATCAGAACCAGAATGAGTAGGTAACGAAATACAACACTCTGTAAGGGAACATTCATCAAAAAGAAACGAATTCCCCTGTTGCATTATTATCAAATTTGCTTCATACACAAAATTTTATGATTTTCATTTTACACAGTTTTGTATACACCCAATGGAACTACGGAAGTGAAAGTGTGCGTCACAAGAATTTTAAAGCACTCTACTGCAGAAGGAAAGACCATTGAATAAAGAAACTACATCCAAACGGTTGGCCATAAATAAGGACAAGCAAGGAAATGAAATGAACATGCAGAATGATTGCGAAATGACTATTATGACATATAATAAATCTCATTAAGAACTCAAAGATAGTCTTAACAAGTTTTATAAACTTGAATGGCCAAACCTCAACATAATAAATGAGGTCCAAAAACACCTAACAATCCAACTACATATGCCAAGCTCAACATCTAACAGTACTAATCAAATAAAATCAATGGAGATGCCTGATTATCTCTATTATCTTCTTCTTCCACCCTTTTGCTTCTTGCTTGTAAAAAAGCAATAGGATACAACCTAAGCAACACACAACACAGATGCCTAATCTAGGCTTTAAAAATATCCAAACAACACAGATGCCTAATCTCGGCTTTAAAAGCATCCAAGAATCGATTTTTCAGAAATCGAATCATGTAAAGTAAATTGTAAATGTATTAAAAACTAAATAAAAAAAAAAAAAAAA